TGGAGTGCGAGAGCGGCCGGAGCCGCCGCCGGGCCGGCCGGCCTCGCTTCGCCGTGAGCTTCGAAGGGTTGGGGCTCCCCGGGAGAGAGGGGGGCCGCGTCCCCGCCCGCCCGGGCTTGGCCTCCGGCGATGGAGCGCGGGCGGCTGCGGGGCCGGGGCCGCCGTCGGTTTCTCCCCAGCGGTGGGGCAGCCGGGGCCGAGCTGCCCGGAGACACCCCGTGCTGGGCGGCTGGGGGTTTCCAGGGGGTGCCTGTGACCTACCGAGGGCACGTAAACCCTGCTGGCGACGGGCAGTGCCTCGGAGCTGCGCGGCCCGGGTAGCTTGCTGTAGGGAACGCCGGGCTTAGTCCCTGCCAGGGCGTGTTTTTTCGGACGAGGGACTCGGAAGACCCGAGCGAGCCCTCGCTGGGGAAGCCTGCCCGTGGTGGTTAAAGGCCACGAGCCCTCCGGCCCCGACCTGCAGCCCGTGGCCTGCGCAGGAGTCGCTCGCGGGGACGTTGAGAAGCAGTCGCTGAAAGTAATTTTCCCTTCCTTTAGTTTACAATGGATTTTGGATAAACAAGATCTATTGAAGGAACGCCAGAAAGACTTGAAATTTCTGACCGAAGAAGAATATTGGAAACTACAGATATTTTTTACTAATGGTAAAAGTGTTTTATTTTTATTTCTGCCCTGAAAGCTGCACAGTATCTGCCATGTCTAAATGCGAGCTTGAATTGCTGCGAGAACGTAATGTTTTCGTGGCGATACTGCATATACTTCTACGACCTATTTTAACAAAGAACTGCAATCGCAATAACATTGTCATCTGTTAGTCATATTAACACAATTTTAGGAGAACTTACAGGCAAATTAGCTGGATATATAACATTTTAACCTGCGATGGGAAAAAATGTAGCACGTTTTCTTTTTTTCAAGAGGTCATTACCAAAAACGTAAAAGGAGGAGAAGCAAGCAGAAACTGCTGAGCTAGCACATTAAAGGCTCAATGTCAAGCATTAATAGTCAAACTGGGCTTTTGGTGGGCTTTTAGGCTGTGGTAAGTATTTAGCCGATCTGTGCAGTCCTATTAAACAACAAAGCTTGGAAACGTGTTATTTGTGTTCAGTTATGTTTTCTGAAACCTGCACCACAGCCTGTGTCTTGCCTTGTGACTGATGCCCCAGCACTGGGTGGCTCTCAAATTGTCTACGGGTTTCTGAGAGCTGTTGGCAGGCAGCCTGTTCTCCCAAAGAGTTTGGGGCTTGTCTGTGAAGTTATCTAGGAGTTACTTGGTCCTGCAAAGTATTTAACCGTATGAACGGCCGCACTGGAGCATATCAGGTTACACCGGCACCTAAACTCTTTTCTGTGCAATTGTTCAGCATTTAAACAAAATCTCCCTAAGCAGAGGATATTGCTCAGTAGTAATTTGTTTGCAGCCAGCTCTTTAAATATTTTTTCACAGCAGTCCCTTAAAGTACAAAATGCTTATTTTTTCAGCTATCTGGCCAGACTTGAGACAGAGAAGTGAAGTGACTTTCCTAAGGCCACTGGAAGATCTTATGTCAGTGCTGGAATGATGTCTGTGAAAGATACTTATCCCAGCTTCTCTCTTAGCTTAGCTATTTTTATAATAATTGCGTATGCTGTGAATCTGATTACTGTGGATACATCTGTGTTGTCACTTAGATGGCACCAGGAAATCGAGCTAGCAATGTTTCATCTATTTGATCAGTTCCTGAAATTCCTTGAGCTTAAAACAAAGTGGCATAGCTTCATAGTGCAAAAAGAGAAAACTGAGTACTGATATTTCTAAAACTGTATTTCTATGCTAATTTTCACTAGAATGAATTTGAATTATGAAATATGCTTTTTTTCAATGTTTCACTTCAGTATTTTTCTTGAGCAAACAAAGATTTGCAAAGTAGACAGGCTGGTTTCAGTTTGTGGTTCTCAGGCTCCTTTCCCTTGGCACTCCTTGCCTCCTGTGAAGGTACGGTGTGTGACCTGCGGCAGCTGGAGAACAGCTCTGCCAGCATCTCCCTTGTGCATGTACGAACACAACCTACCTTGGAGGAGAGAGCGGTACTGGGCTTTCACCCCTTCTGTAGCAAAGAGAGGCACCTTCATGGGGAGGACAGTTAGGGGCTGCTCTGTACTGGTGGGAGCTCAGGCAGAGCTTGCCGTGTCAAGCCCTTGACGTGTGTTGTATCATCACCTGCCTCTGAATGGGGACCCTGCTTTGGGTTTATAGAGCCTGCCCCTCTTCTCTCCCACCTCCTGCATTACTTGGGTAGGGATTGAGTCTCGGCCACGCCTTATCATATTCAGCATGTGTCTGCCCAGGAGATGGTTGTTCCCTAAAGCCATGAAAAAATTGCCTGGAGAGAGGCAGTTTCCTGCTGCCTCCTCATTGGAATACAAGTGCAGTAGGTCACCAACTGATTTTATGGCCACGCACAACTACTCAGAATGTGAATACTGTAGAGAAGGAAAACTATCATCTTCTAAAATAGTTTTGAAAATGGAAATTGATGTTGATTTCTCTCTTTGGATCACCAAGTCTTAATAGAGTTTTTGGTTGAAAAGCGCATTAATGGATTTCCTTCTCTGATCTAGGGCAGAAGCTGTAATGTTTGTGTTACAGGCTACTCAAGATATTCAGATTTAAAACAATTTTTATTTAAAAACCCCTACTGAAACCACTTATTTTGTAAACATAGGGGAATAAATAATCCAATAGTTTCTTTTAAAATATTAAAAAAATTAATTACAAGTGTTGGACTTTTTCCCGGCATATACAAGCTTCCATTTCATTAAGTCTCTCTAGGCTCATGTCCATTTTTTTCCCTAAACCACACTTGGTTTTTCTCTGACAGCAGATGGCCTAACCGTTCCTGAAAATCCCATGGGAGTGAGAAACATATTTGGAGAATTCTGTTTAGCTTAATATTTGAATTTTTCTGATGCCCTAGTAGTAGGACAGCTTTGTAGCCCCATGGTCAAATCATAGGGAGAAATCCTTTCAAGCCTCCCAAGATACACTGATAAATATTTTAATATTTGTACAGACATGGCATACCGGGTTTAACCTTCTTTCTGGCAGTATTGCTTGTCCTACTGTCACTGGCAAGTTAGTCTCAACTTGGCATTCTTCTCTTTAGGAAAAGAGTAATAGGACACAGACAGGGACTTAATGTTGCTTTGGGTAATCATAGTGACAAATTTGTTACCTTTTCCTGTGTGTGTGTGTGTGGGGGGGAAGTTGCCAACCATCAGTGCTGTTCAGGGTGGTTTTTTCCTTTTCTCCTACGTTCAGCCCTTTTCTAGCCAGCAATGTCCTTGACATTTGTGTGTTTTAAAATGCTGTGATGCTCATTAAAAGCGAGAGTAGGGTATACCCTGACTATTCCTGATGGATACAGGATAAGAGCATGGGGAAAAAAATCTGGACTTGGGTGCTTAGGTAGAGACTAAGAATTTAGCAATGACTGAGAACAGAATTGTTTGCTTTTCCGATCAGTGGTTGCAGTCTTGATCTTGCTGTACATATTTTAAATATATACTTCAGTATATTTTAAATTATTGTTTTGGACATTTCTGGTGAGGGAGGAAAAAAGGAAGAGGGAGGCTTAACACAGCCAAGCCTTGCTCTGAAGAATGGCTGCGAAGAAGTATGGGAAAAATAACAAGTAACAACCTTATGTTTCACTGTGCTATTCTCTATATCCAACCCCTGCTCTTAATCCCAGCTTGATGCATCTAATTTGCTTGGCACCTTTCCTTTGCCTGGGAGGCCAAACAAGAGCTACCTGCACAGATGACACCAGGGTTGTTTCTTGGCCAACTGGCAGAGGACCACTGTGATGGAGCAGCTGACTGCATCCTCTGGTCTCCCACCCCCTCTCCCTAGACTAAATATGTCATTTTTTTAACACCTGCTGCCTCTGCCAAATTGTTTGTCTTGGCAGCTTTATTTTTTTGAAAAAAAAACCCCATCCATTTTGCATGGCACCGAAATGCCATAGACTTATATTTTACGTGTGTGAATTTGGTTTTGCTCTAAGAAGGGTAAAGCTTGGGTATTCCATTTGAGATTTGTGTTGTCATCTTCTTAAAGGTCTTACTCACTTTGTATGCAATGAAGTCAAGTTACCTTTCCCTTTCTGAAGGTGTCCACAAGCTTCAGGATGCAGTGCTGCTTCTTTACTTGCAGGTCTGTAGGTTTACAGCAACATGTCTCACCAAAGCAACGTATCTGAACTGAGGGAGAAGACTGTGCTGCTGCTCCTTAGAATCCCCAGCACTAGTCATGTTTTGAGATCCTTTGCTATTTGGTGTCAAATTGTTGTAAAAACTCAACTCAAGCTTTTGTTCATTTTTTTTTTTTTAAGTTATCCAGGCTTTAGGTGAACATCTTAAATTAAGACAACAAGTTATTGCCACTGCTACAGTCTACTTCAAGAGATTCTATGCCAGGTAGGACTGTTTACTATGATGGTACAAGAATAAAACATTTGCTAGGCACATTTTGGTAGCCCTTTTAAAATGCAGTTCTGTATTAAAAACAGTGCCACTTTTGTTTTCTGGATGGTGTAAAGCTTTTATGCTAATAAAGTTAACTTAAGCTTTGCTTTTTCAAAAGGAAGTGTGGTGCTCTTAATAGATTAATCGTTCTACGTGTATGAAACAACATATTATAATTTTGTTATAACATTTCAGATATTCCCTAAAAAGTATAGATCCAGTATTAATGGCTCCTACGTGTGTGTTTTTGGCATCCAAAGTAGAGGTATGAAGTATTACAATTTTTTAATGTAAAATTATGTGATGTATGAGAGAGAGAAAACGTTTAGGACTTTTACATTTTTTGTCATTCTTCATGCTTTGGGGGTTGAAACCTTCTCTTTTTTTGTATAGATTTCTATAGCATTTAAGAAAAGGAGACGGAGAAGGCCTTCAAACATGTTATTTAGTATTTGATCTTTCACAATTTTGTCTGAATTACTAACCCTGAAGGGCCTCTGAAAATTGGAAAATGGCTGTTTCACTGTGATACAGTGTTTACATATTTACATGCACTGTATCTTAAATTGTGCAGTGTCTCCTTTCTAGTGTGTTTTTCCTTATTTATGTTTACTCAAACTTTAAAACATAATTTGAATTTTTTTCTTAATTATCCTTTTCCCTTTCGTATAGTGAGGGATCCTCAGAGTTTACCACACTTTCATTACTTGAATTAAAAGTATGTTGTAGCTCATATGCTGACTTTTGAGAAATTATCATAAGGAACTGACCCATTAGGGATAGTGGTGAGAAGGCTCCATGCCTCCACCATTAGAAGTCCACTTTGAATGTGGCCAAGAGTTAGCATCAGCTGGGCGCTGCTCTTAGTCTTCTGTAATGCAAGACGTTTTTCAGCTGTTTGAGAAGTGTCTGCGTAATGGAAAAAAAAAAAAAATCAAATTGGCCAGTCTGTGATATGTCAGCGCTAATGAATTTTACAGGAGGAGTTCAAATGCCTAGTGGATGGTAGAAGCAGTCCTACTAAACCAGTGTCTGCATGTGATACTGTTGTCTGTACAAGTACTGTGATACCTTTCAGTGTTTGGAAGAGATGAAGGAAAGGAGAAAGATGCAGAGTATTGGAGAGAGTATTTTTTTATGAGTCTGTTAATTAAGCCTTTAAGAAAGTACAGACATAGAGTGTATATGTACAGATGTACCTTATATTTTAGAACAAATACTAGAAGTCTGTGCGGCCTTCCTTACACTAAAGCTTCTGCAACTTTAGAGGGCAGCTGTAGCAGTAATGATTCAGCTATGCACTTCTCTGAAGGAACACTGTATACAGAAAATTTTCAGATTGCTGACTGTCTCAGCAGAGGAGCTAAGACTTCGTGGAAACATAATAAAAAAAAGTAGTTAATGACAAGTTTCTAAAGGCAGTTTTCTCTCCAAGTGGGTTAAGGAAAAACAACATACCTTCTTGAAGCCCTCTTGTCTAGTTTATGTGTAGAGTGTTAGCCAACCGAGCTTTTGTGGCTTTAGTACCTTTCATAAACGTTTACTATTCCTCGCAACTCAAACAACAAAGTAACTAATCAATGAAAAAACTCTTTACCTAAGAGTTTACCCTGTTCACCTTAAGAAAAAAAAAAAGAAAAAAGGGGTGGGTGGGAAAAAAAGAAGTACTGCGTAAAGAAGCCCAGTTTAGTAAGAAGCTGTTATTTTAATTTGATAACAGTGTGAGTATATGGTATTTCAGGTGGTTCACTTCATTTACCATTCTTTTTCTTCAGGAATTTGGTGTTGTTTCAAATACAAGGTTGATTTCTGCTGCTACTTCTGTATGTAAGTATCGGTGATTTTCATTATGCTGTAGTTAGGTATCTCTATAGGGAGATCAGATATTTTCTTTGTGGGTTTTTTGTTTGCTTGTTTTTAAAAGGTAGCTTTTTATCAAGTCACGGGGGGGGGCTTGCATGTTGACTGCTAGGAGCCACTTAAAGCCATTTAGAATAAACAACTTCTGTTTCTAAATACAGAAACAGAAGGGTCCTTTCTGTATTAGTTTTGGTTGATTCTGGTTGGAACTTATGCCAAGCATAAATAAAACCAAAGTAATAAAATTAAACTGCTGAGGTTTATAAACAGTCTTGAGTAGGAAATTGAATTCTGAACTACTCAAAGATAGAATTGGAAGTTTAGGGCTTTACTTGTCTGTTTTATAAAAGGTATGGCTCCATGGAAGTACCTATTTTCAGAATTTTTGGTAGGCTGTATACTTTCTAATTTTTTTTACCCTCCCAATAAAATTAGTCTTTGCACATGGTATTTATTTCTAAAAATATATTTTATAACGTGTATATTGTTCACAAATAAATGCAATAAAATCACACTGTAGTTACTTCATTCTCTCTTTCCCACTTGCCTTCTATTTCCCAATTCCTGTAACTTGCATCTCATCCATCAAGGTCTTAAAGTGATGGCTTCTTTAACTGAATGCTGTAATTTGACCCAGAAGGTCCAGCTGCTCTCACTAGACAATTCCTGGCTATGCTCTTCAAAATGTAGGTCAGTGCTTTCAAAATCCCTCTTAGCCATTGAGGGGACAGGTGACTGGCTGCATCTGTAGCCTCCACATGCAGTAAGTATATCAGTCCATGGGGCTGGCTGTATGACAGTTCCACCACCAGGAACTGAAATGCATCTTCAGTGCCAGCATGACCAAGACCAGTACTAGATTTAGCAATAAGAGTTGCTATTTTTACATCAGCAGCATCTCAAAGCACAGATCTATGTGGCAGTTTTGGTGTGTCAGTGAGAAAGTTAGATGGATTTTGGTAAATCTGCAGTAGTTGGTTTTACTTGGACTCCTAGTCCTGAGCTGTGCTGTTTCTGAAAATCCCAGGTCTCAGAATCCTGCAGAAGATTTGCCCCACAGTTCTTCCTTCAGACCTAGAAGCCCTGCCTGCCCCGATAAGTACTCTGCATTTCATGGAAGTGGGGACAAAAAGCAACAGGCTTTCTCCTAGTGTTTATGTCTTTTATTCTACCTGGTCTTCCTTTATCAGAGTTGCTTCGGTAGCACACAGCAATTTTTTTTAGGTCTTCATACAAAACATGAAAAAAGCTGAGGCAAGACAAGTAAAAGAAAGCTAACAAGGTGACTAGCCTAACAGTGGTTGGTTGAAAAGGTTTGTTTGCTTTTAGTTAGATAGAAACATGAAGTTAGTAACACATGTTTCCTTTGTAAGGAAGATAATCTCAGATTAGTTTCTGGCAACCTCTTCAAAAGCTTTTCGCTCTGTTTCCATAGCTTACTAAAAGGGCAGCTCCATATGGTTGTGTCTGCAGTTTGCTTTGTGGGAAAAATATTTTGTTTCCCTATCTTCCCCCTCAAAGTGGTTTATTTTTTTACTATGTATCTATTCTGTTTGCATGCTTCTTGAGAAACCCGTTTTATTCATTCTTACCTTTCTTGAAATAATTAAAATTTCCAACCAGTAGCCTAGTCTTACTGTCCTGCAGCAAATTTTCTAGCAAAGTCCACCATAGGTCTAAATGTTGAAGACTGTAGTCCAGAGGACTGACACTATCTTTTCATCAAAGTGAATGGCATACTGCTTTTCTGGAGGTAGTATCAATTCATAATATACTGTCTGTCATCAATATAAGGAATGTTGTCTACTTACAGGATGTTAAATGTTACCTGTTTTCCTTGGAGGACAGGGACTTTATGTAGATTTTAAGTGTTTCACTTGTACAAATCTCAAATCCACATCCTCAAGTGTACTTAAGTTTTTTTTTTATTTTGCGCAGCATTCTCGTATGAGATCACTCTGTTTTTCAACTTATAATTCTTAACAGTGCACTGTTTGTACCTGTTCTCCTTGTAAAATGCATGAGGATAATTAGGTATCTAAATCAGGGATCATCATAAGCTAGAAAACCGAGGATATATTTGAACATTCTTGTGGAGGCAAGTGTCTTGAATCACATCATATGCCTAAGCGGATGCTTAGGTGTCTGTCTCAAGGAGAGAAACACCCTTGAAGTGTCTGATAATCCAGTGCCTAGGACATTGATCTGCAGTGTGGTGAATTGACATCTTGCTTTGAATTTGAGCCTGGTTTTTGCATGTCCAAAATCTTTTCCTCATGGACATACAAGATCTCTTGGTTGAGCTCAGTCACCCTGCCCTCAGTCTTGCTTTTCTAAGACTTCATTACATGGTTTAAAATCTTCTATGTTGAAGGATCAAGCCTATGTAAAAAATCCTACGTGGAAGTTCCATCTGGATTTAGTGTTGGAAATGAGATCCTGAAAAGATCGCCAGATTTGGAGTGACATCAGTAGGTAGATCGCTCTGTGAATGATAACTTGTGGAAAGTTAGGTGCCCATAAGCTAGTTGGTGGTTAAGCAGAAGATTTAGTAGTGCCCAATGCAGCAGACAAATGTCTGGCTGAGTACCTGCGCAAATCTGGGTTACAAGCGTACTTCTCTTTCCCTTTCAGGATCTTAAATCTTCTAACTTAACTTTTCGCTTTCAAATACAAACGTTTTGTACTGCAAGCAGTTGTGCTGCCAAATGGATTTGAAGGGCTATATACAGATGAATTAATAGAAAGGTAAAGAAGTAAAAATATTAATTACATAATTTTTAACATACCGATTTCTCTTTACTGTAGTGAAAACTAGGTTTTCGTATGCCTTTCCGAAGGAGTTTCCTTATAGGATGAACCATGTAAGTATGCTGTTCGAAATACGACTTGATCAAATAAATTAAAAGACAAATAATTGTTAGCAGGAAATCCTGTCTTTCAAATTCTAAGAAAGAAATATTTTCATACTCATATGTCGGGTTGCTCATAATTAGTTTTGGATAGATTATTGGGAAAGTTACTTTTAAAAGTGATAAATCTTACATAACCTCCTTTCCTTAAATTGTTGACAGGAATGCTATAAAGAGAAGTGATGTGACTCGGTGACTGAAATAGTATTTTTATATAGTATGATGATAAAAGAGATTTAGGTTTTTTTTGAATGTTCTTGTTTACAAATACATTGCTCCAGGGAAGGTAAATAGCCCTTGCACCTGGGATGTTTCCAAGCTTGCATACAGGAGCAGTTGGCTTACAGAAAGTGGTTTTATTTTTGCCTGGAAAATGTAATGGCTTTTGAAAAATAATTTTTATTTATTATTTAAAATTTAGATTTGCTAGTAGTTTTCAAGGCATCCTCAGTCACAATACTGAGAAATTTTGTAGTTTTTCTTGAAACCAGTTTTGACCTGTGCTGTGGTATTTTGAAAGTTAAACGGATCTAATTATTTTTAGATCCACTGTGGGAAATGTTACTTTTTTTTGTCGGTTTGCTTTCCACCCAATTTAGAAAGCCATGTGATATATCAGAATATAAAATATCTAAGACCTTGCAGTAAAAGTGCTCTGCTATTTTACAGATAAAGGCAAATGGAAACATATTTTGGAGTACTGCTTTCCTATAGCCAAAGCAGTCCAATCTTTTGCTTGATATCACTAATATGTTACTATCTCTATGGAAAATGAGAGCTGATTTAATTGCTACAATTGAACAGAATAATTAATATTAAATTAAATCTGAAAATACTTTAAAAGGCCATTTGGCATGTTAGTGGTCTGATGAAGAGGCTCTAATTCTACAAAAGGACTTCTCTATTGCTGTTAAGTGTTTATACACTGGGAACAATTTGCTGCTGCCAGGTATTGAAACAAATCAGACAAGTACTGTCAATGAAGTAGCTTTTCATAGTAAACTTGATCCAAAATGTTTAAATGCATTGTTATTATGACTGGAGTTAAGTTTTGATGGTGGTAAGGCAATGGCTAATACTAGTTTGATTTTTTTTTTTTTGTTTGGTTTTGTAGTTTCAGGTGAAATGTGTTTAGGACTGTTGGAAATGTGTTGAGAATTCCAGTGATGATTTTAAACTGGATGCCAGTTAATTCTTTCTGCTGTCTGAAACATGCTGCTGTTTAACTGTGATTTTACTTCTTTGCAGATACTAGAATGTGAATTCTATCTCTTAGAATTAATGGTAGGTTTGTTTTTTTTTTTTTACTACTGTTGCCTCAGTTTACTTTTTACTGATGAAGAATATTTTGAGTTTTGTGCTATGAAATATGCATTATGCTGTCTTGGTTTTTTTTTTTTTTTTCCCCATGCCAATTTTAGAATGATGTCCATGCAGGTCTAACATTTATGTTTTCAGCAGAATACCGTAATTACTGTGCTGTCATCTAGGCTGAGTGAGGGCATTCTCACCTCCTTGTGTTGAAGCTGGACTTTTCAACAGAAAGAGGGCAGATTGTGAGATCGGTGAGGGCAGCAGGAGTGTGTATGGCTTTGCATCCTAGTGGTTAGAGCAGTTGGTTAGTGGTGTTGGAAGGGTAAAGCATAAGTTCTGTTTCCAGAACTGCTTGTTTTTAATAGAAAGGTAACTGTATATAAGTCCTGATGCAGAGACTAGGATGCCAGTGTCCTTATTTCCCCAGATGAATGGCCAGTCAGGAGCATAAAGAGTTGTGTTCTTTCTATGCCCTCTTCTTGCCTGGAAGAATCTGCAGCTATATATGTGTGTTCCAGCTTCAGCAGAAGGTGTGGGTAGTATCCCACTCAGGCTAGTGTATAACCTGATAATTAGAGTAATCTTCTAGGAAGTGAGATATGGGTTTGAATCCTATGAGGAAGAAACTGAATTCAGGGCCTTGCGTTTTCTGAGATGGTGCTGTAACTGTTGGATGAAAGAACTACAATGTGACATTTCCTTCCAGGCACTTTCAACTAAAGGGTCTGTACCTGCTTTTTGTAAGGTTGCCATCCCATTGCTGTGTTTTCTAGGGCAACTGAAAGGATGCAGCCCAGGCTTCTTAGGGGGCTTAGGTAAAGTGGTGCCTAATTTCTGCATATTGGTTGGACTTGGATGGATTAGGCACCAAGGCCGCTGTACTGGAGTGGTTCTGCTCAAGTGCAGAGAAAAGGAGAGAGAAACCAGGGAGGAGCCTAGTGAGTTAGGCAGCAACCGAGAAAATATGTTTTGGGAACAGGACACAGAGGAGGTCGGATCAAAGTTTTTTGTTCGTGCCTACAGTTGTTATAACCCCTTTTTAGATAGCCTGTTTATATTTAGTCCTTGATACCTCTGCTATACATGGCAGTAACCCTTGAGTTTTGTATACAGTAGTTTTATCATAAGTAACTGCATTTACAAGAAGTTACATCTTAGGGATTGACTTATTTTTCCAGTATGCTATGCAATATATAGTATGTATAATAACTGTCTCATTTCAGTGTTCAGCACATGTAACTTAATGGAGCTTTTCCCTATAGTATCCATACAGTTGACTGCTTTCAGTGAGAGGGTTATTCCTTCTTGCTTATACCAACCTGGGCCTGAAAAGAGGGGTTTTGAAAGCAGTGGATTTTTTTCCTTTTCTTTCTTTCTTTCCAGACCAGTGTCAATTATTTTGGCATGCTTTCCATGTATGGTATTTAGTGACAGACTGTTTTCTGGCAGTGGTTTGTATTTCCAAGTGGGAATTACGGGTTTGTAAGCAAATGAGGTTTCAGTGTGCTGCAGATGTGGCTTTCTGTGTCTCTTAGGGGAATGACATTGACAGACTGGCAACCATGCTATGTAATGGTATTCTAGAGAGAGCACTGCCCTCATTAGAGCAGGGTTAGGTGTCAGAATGCTACGTAAAAAAAAATAAATCAGTAATTGACTTGTAAACCAAATGTTTTTAATGTGAACTGACAACACATTCTGCATTGTAATTTAACTTCTATCCTGTTGACATTTTTCCTAGGACTGCTGTTTGATAGTGTATCATCCTTATAGACCTTTGCTACAATATGTGCAAGATATGGGCCAAGAAGACATGCTGCTACCTCTTGCATGGTAATGAAGACAATGAGTAACAATAGTGCCTCCTTTCAGCAAGAAAGCAAGTGTTTAACAGTTATGCTTCAAAGGTGGTTAAGCAAAAGCAGGCTTAGCCATATTTGAATACAAAGGGTGCCCTAGTTAACCTGTGCAGGTACATGTCCCTGACTTAGCTTATTCTGTCTTTAACCCTGTAATGATTTGACTTTGCAGTGGTCTAATTTTTATTTTTAGACTAGCTCTAATAGCCCAGTTTTTTACACTACTGAATGGTGACTATGAATAGAGGTAATCTTTTTCTACCAACTTATGCTTTCTGTTGTATCTTGTCGTAGGAGGTAGAAGCAGTATGTAGGGTTTTTTAGCTGTGTTAGCAGAACTCTTATTCTTGAACTGTTTCACAAATACAGAAAGGCAGTAAAAATACTACTTTTATGCTTGCCCTTATTTATTTGTGAAACAGGGATAAATATTTTATGGTATACGTCAACACCGTCTGCAGAAGGACTTTTATGGTATTATAATAGTGTTTCCAAATAAACTTCTGCAGTGATTACAAGAAAGAAAATGAAAGGCTTTAAGAGATTTTTACAAGGGGCGAGATTTCTTCCCTCGCTGTTTTGCCCTGCAGCCTCGCTGCTTCTACCATCTGGGAAACTGACAAAATATTTATAAACTGACAGCAGTTTTTGAAGTCTTATAGTCTAAAGGTGAATAGGACAATACTTACAAGTTCTTTTTTGCACAGGAGGATAGTGAATGACACATACAGAACTGATCTTTGTCTGCTGTACCCTCCTTTCATGATAGCTCTAGGTAAGTAACACAAGTAATGTCTCGTCTTGTTTAAATGGATGTGTTCTGTGTGCTGTCCCATCAATAAGCATTCCTTAGAATAAGGTGCTTCAGTCTGCATTTCATACAGTACTGACAGTGTAGCTTTGCAACTTAAAAAGTCTTGGAGAAAAATCAGGTAATTAATTCCGTTTTTTTTCTGTTGACCTGTATAGTGTTTATAAAAAATAGAATGTTTCTAACTGTATCAAGAGTGGCTCTTTGTTCAATATACATGTCACCTGATCTTTGCAGCTTGCCTACATGTGGCCTGTGTTGTCCAGCAGAAGGATGCAAGGCAATGGTTTGCTGAGCTATCTGTTGATATGGAAAAGGTACTCTGTTTTTAATTCCTGCCACCTGTTATGGACTGACCAGAAATGGTAGTCATGGCTATAAAACTACCATCTTACATGTCTGCAGTACTGATTTGAACTTCATTCAGTCATCATATATTAGGTGCTGTTGAAATTAGGTAGATCTCTCAGGGAGGAAGACAATGTCAGGTCATTCAGTCATCACACTGCTCTGAAAGTCAAGACAGAACCATTGCATAACCAGCAAAGTGTTGCTGGTGTTGCTGTTTTTCAGATGGATACATAAAACCAATATACTTTGCATTTTTTGCCAGAAAAAGAATTCCCAGTGTTTTTTGTCATTCAAGATTGCCATCATGAGTTTGACTTTTATTCTAGTGCATGTGATTTTCTGTTCTCATTTTCTCTCTATAAGTGTACGTAATATAGCAGAGTGTAAAATATTCTTAGCACTTTCAGGATGACCAGGACCATGACTTCAGTCAGTGTTAAACAGGGGGATACCAAGATCATTCAGTTGAGTTCCCTGCTGTTGCAAATTCTGTGTCAAATGATCCCCTTCGTAAATTTATCAGGTTCTGAGACGCAGTTGTTCTCATACCAGTAACGTGCTTCATCTTCACTAGTTCCTTTTTAGATTGACTTCTTTAACCTTTGTTTAGCTCCAGCAAGCAAGCCAAACTAGTACTCGTACTCCTTATCACACTGTTTCACTCTGCACATATTTTTCAGTCTATCTTTTTTGAAAATGAGCATCTGGAATTAAATAGCATATTATGGATGAGACATACCATTGCCCTCTCTGCCCTCAGTATTGCCCTTTATCCTGGCATTGTATTTGTATTCCAGGATTTGTCTTCAGATTTAAGCATGGTGTGGATGCTATGCTGCATCGAAAGCCTTCCGAATTGTGCTGTCATGCATGTAAAAGCAGGGTGATAATAAATTGGCAGCAGAGGAGAACCAACCTATATTTGACAGATAAGGTTACCATAAGCTTGATACTGAACATGTTTGAATGTTTACATGTCTTGGTTCTCATGCCAGTGATAAGCTTGATTTTTTTTACATTAAGACCATGGACCTCTTAGCTAACTATGACTTTTCTTTCAAGGATATATATTGTTCTAGCACTTAATCAAGGTCCATGTATTAAAAAGAATAAAGAAGTCTACTTTATTAATTTAGAGAATGATGAAACAAATTATGAACCAAACATTATGCACCTTTTATATAGAATATTGCACTAGAAATTTAATAGGAAATTAAGGTAGTTGAGGTGCAGTAGATAGGAAATGTCCAAACTGATAGAGAATGCTTATGCTTCCAGAAGTGGAATATGAAAGTTCAACAATTCTTATTATATGTATATAAGAATATAGCAAGAATAATAATAAGAAGAATATAATAAGTATTTAGATACTCCTTGGCTCTTTATTTCTTGGAAGGAAAGAATTCAGACCAATGTTTTGTGGTTTGGGGCTTTTTTTCCTACACTGTGCCTCTGATGTATATGAACATTGATAATCATCGGTTACTGTATTGGTAATCTGTGGTCATCTAGCTGCAGTCATGCTGCCAGGTGTCTGTATTTTCCCAGTAGCATAGTTATAAACTGTGGCAGTAGTTGCAAATAAATAAAAAGCTATTTAGCTTGCAGGGGAGGAGAAGTGGTATATACAGTTGAATGGGAGGGAAAGTATTCTGTTCAGGCTTCCATTCACAATTAAATCAAAAAACTAATTATAGAAATGGTTGATTGCCAGACCAGATTAAATGTGAGATAGCTCTGTTTATAATATGAAAATTGTGCTGCTTAATTTCAGTTTGGGGCATGTTTAATTAATTACACACTTAAACTGACTATGACAAAGATAAAATCACTATTGTGTCTGACCTTAGGATCTCTTTTCTTTCTAATCAGATTTTAGAAATAATCAGGGTTATTCTGAAGCTGTATGAGCAGTGGAAGAACTTTGATGAGAGGAAAGAGATGGCTACTATTCTTAGTAAAATGCCTAAACCAAAACCACCTCCAAACAGGTACTGTACTTCCTTAATACACCTTTCACATGGAAAAACTGGACTGCTATCTTAAGAATGAGTAAATGTTTAATTTGAGGTGTAGCGTATATTTTTACAGTGCAGACTTTTCTGTTACAAACAGCCAGTCTGATTGTTCAGGAGCTAGCAAGAAGCAGAACATTTATTGTTTTATGGAGAGTGTTAATGTGATTAGAATGTGATCAATACAGCTTAGCAAATGTAAGGAACCATGGTGTGAGGCTCTGTGGTTGAGCCAGATTGATGAGAACTGGGCCTGCTTGATGTCGTATTTAATTATTGTGATTAAATACCACTGTTGGGAATCTGCACATGCAAATTCCTGTGCACGTGCTTATGAAATGTGAACTTTGAAATGTTGACTTCAGAAGTAGATACAGCAGGCAGCTGCATGGGTATATATTGAAATTATTACTCAAATAAATACACTGAAGTTATTTATGCATGCTGAGATTAACCTTTGCATTTTTAATGAAATTTAGCACAATATCTTAACCTAGTTGTGTATATGTTGAAGTATTGTCCTTCAAAAGGTTTCTACTACTTTCAGAATACCGTATTTTTTTAAATAAATAAAGACAAAAATGTAATATGATGCTTCTTTTTGAAGACATGTGGTTTTGTTTTTTTTCTTCCAAACAGTGAAGGAGAACAGGGTCCAAATGGTAGCCAGAACTCTAGTTATAGCCAATCTTAAGACATTCCAAAGAATTTGTTTATGGACCACTTTGACTCAAGACATCCTGGGATCTTTCCTGTGTTCATGAAATGGACAGAAGGTTTTAGTAACATCTTTGACAAAGAACTTGAAGAATAAATAGCTTGTTTGTGTCAAGCATTTTGAAAGCTTTTTCTCTAAAACTGCATCATTTTCTCTGACGCTGGAGCAAATGTACTAAGATTTTTCAATGTAAGGAATCAAATGTTACACCAAGCTGCGAAAGATTAACACTATCCACTCAAAATAAATAGTTCATTATTGGTTTTGTTTGCTTTGAGAAAATTGTAACTTGCCATTGAAGTGAACTATTTTTAAAGCGACAGTAACCTGAAGCCTAAGTGTAACTGTATTAATGACTTGTGTTGTCTTCATTTTGTTTGTGACTGAAGGAAGGTAGCGCACTGTGTGTTAAATCTATTCATTACCTTGAGTTTTGTTGATTTTTTTGAAAATAAATATGGATTCTGTAACAAGTAATGCAGCAATCCTTCAGAAACAAAACCTAGAAGAGCCTGCAAATAATATTGTTACAGTTTTAATGAAAGCTGCAGGAAAGAAATTCAGTTCCTTTTTTGGATTAGAAAAATGCTGTTTTACTTAGTAGATGTACTTGGATGTTTTTGCCACGAAGTGTAGTAGCCCAGCTTACCAGAGAAGTGCAATATGTATAGTGATTCTGCAGTTTTCTTAAACGTTTCAAGTGTTAGGAATTAAAAAACCCCAACATACTATGATTTTTTTTTGCAAGTAAATGTACTGTATAGTACAATCGGAATATTTCACAGTCAAGTACAAATCTGGATATGATTGCTGTTTTTTATGGTGGATTTTTTTTTTGTACAAAAGATATACACTGTTAGTCTGCCTTCACTGTTGGTGTGAATTTGTGTGGTTCATTAGAGAGTTTATTTAAGAGGATCAAGCTTTTGGTGAGTTTCATACTGGCTAATTTTAATTGTGATGTTAGGAGCAACTCTTTAGAATAACTGAAATGGGATTCCTTGGTTAACTATGTGCTGGAGAAAATGAGATTCCTTCAAACAGAAGGCCATATCCTGTGTTCCTTACTCAGGCAGATATCCCACTGAAGTCAGGAATTGGCCTAAATCGAATTTCTTGATTTTTAGATAACTTTGTTTCTAATTAAGTTCTGTACAACTTCATTTTGAATGATAATGCTGACTTGCCCAAGTATAAAAATTGAATGATAAAGTGCAGTAACATTGTTCTCCTTTTTTTTTTTTTTTTTTTTCTGAAGCAACACATTTCCCTGGTCTGAAATATTGGAGGGAAATTCTTGAAAACCCTTGCTCTGTGATGCGTCTTGGTTTAAAAAACTGGCCCCTTAAAAAAACCCTGTTTTTTGCAAATACCTGTCTTTGTAATTGGCTGATCATTCAGTGAAATATAACTGAAGCGTGTTTGTATGTAGCCCATTAGGCTACTAGCATTTATTTCTGTTCAGGTTATTTTTGTAAAACATTAGGTAAACAAGCCCAAACCACTTTGGTGAGATAGAAAATATATACATTTTGGTCTTTGCTACTTTGTTTCCATTTGATCCATACTTTTTATAGACACTTGATTGATGAAGTGGAATTTGGCTGTTTGCCTTTGTTTCTTGAAGTCTAAAATGTGCTATTTGTAATGTGGACTTGGGGAGTAGAAATAAATCAATGCAACTTGACCATTGTGTGGAGTTCTTAAACAGGAACTGTCCTTTAGGTAAACATCAGTCTTCTTACATATACCACATACTCTGCTAAGAAAGCTAATGTTTTGAAATTAGGGGTTTCACACAATTAGTGAAGAATTCTGGCTGGAGTGATTAAAAGTTGTCTTGCTGCTCAAGAGCCGTGGCAGACTTTACTTCATACCCAAACTACCTATGTGACCTAAACCTCAGAGCTAAACTATCAGGCAATTCTTGATGGTAAATAGAAGTATCTTAAGTCATTTCTCTACTGGGGAGGTGAGGATAGTTTTACCAGCTCTGGTTCCAGTGTAAACAGTGAAAGGCAGTGAAGTGCAGTCAAAGGAACTGGATTCAGTGATGACAGTTATAAAAAGAAAGATGTAAATTGGAACAACAGGAAAGAGAACATAATCTGAATTCAACAGCTTTGCTACCAACCAGACAGAAAAAAAATCACCTTTACTGTGCTTAATTTCAAAGGAGAGAAATGCATAAAAATGAGGTGTATCATTAAAAGAGAGGTAGCTGAAAGTCTTCACAGATTATATGGTTACAGGTGACAGTGGAGTGTCAAAGCAAACACTAGTGATCTGTGCCAAAAAGACTTAAGGAAAAATCTAAAAGGAAGCAAACTGAACTGAATCAGACAACTTATTTAACTCAAAAAGCATAATTTGAAAAGTTATATCCACATAAGGGAGATACAGAGGAAGACACAGAAAGGATCATCAACTTTGACAAGCTACAAATAGTTTGAGAAACACCTTGCAAAAAACTAGCAAGGCTAATAAACACTAGACCTACCAAGACTAATAAGAACTAATGAAAATAAAAAAGAGGTATACAGTGGCTTTCCTATTAAAAAAAAAGAAATCCACTACTCTTCAGCTCAGAAAAGACAGCAGAGGTCTAGAAAAATCATGAGTGGTGTGAAGACTGATGAGGTGACAACTGTTCATCTCTTCTGACAGAAGAAGCAGGAGCATCCGATGAAAACAATACATGGCAAGTTGAGAAGCAACAAAGGAAAAGACCTCTTCTCACAATGCATTGTTAAACCCAGTACAGCCTGCTGTGACTGCTGGGAGTTTGTGTTGAAAATTTACAAATACCCAAATATACCAAGACATGCAAAGCCCGAAGGAAGTATCAAAGCACTCCAAGTTGTAAATGAGAATAATAATAATAATAATCTGGGGGCTGTATCACTAGATACTTGTCTTGTTTTATGCTCTTCCTCAGATGTTTATTACTGGTTGCTGCCAAACAGAACATAATGGGCTAGACAGATCTTGGTGTGACCCAATATAACTGTTTGTTGTTCATTGTTTGTACCCATGTAGTTTTAGATGTTTGCAACAAACTTTAATGTAGCTACAAAAGGAAGCATTTGCCACTTATGACTAAATTGTGACTAAGTTTAGTTGATTAGATCTCCTTGCTTTGTTCATCTGTATACTGAAGTTTGGTGGCTTGGTCAATACAGCTAGGCATGATTAATAACACATTTAGCTAAATATTTTCAGTGTGTCTCAAATTTTCTATACAATCTGACCTTAATGATCTAGATCAAAAGGCGTCATTAGTCCTGGTGAGGCCTGGCACAACACAACCAACAGTGGGCTTCAGTTACCCCTTTGACTATGTGCCCACAGCACTGTGAAACTGTCTAGGTCATGTTAAACAGGCAAAATTAATAGATCATAGGATTTGGCTAAATCCAACAAAACTGTTGGCATCTGTTACGCCTCCTGATCCAGTCTGAAAAACACCTTTCAAGAGTAAGATAGTGAGAATTGCAGAGTAATTGACCACAACAAGGTAGCACCCATCATCATTCTGGCATTTTAATTTCATCTTACTCCCATTAATCTATCAGTTGTTAAACTAAACCAGTATTTTGGAAATTAGTCTAAATTCTGGTTCTTGTTTCGTTTTTTTTTTTTTTACGAATTGGAAATAAAGTATAGCATTAAGACCACTAAAAAGTCAATGATACTTTTAAGAAAAATGCACTCATTACTTACTATTATGACAGCTACACTACAGGGTCTCTAATTATTAGCAAAGACAAGGAGAACGGAAACCACTGTAAGATACATCATGAGGGCAGCACAGCTAACACAGCTGGCTGTGCCAACTGCAGGAGTTCTCCTCTAGAAACAAATGACTGCAGAGAGACTGTGGGACTTACTAGAAATAAAGTTCTAGTAAGACTAGTGACTTTTTCTTTTCTCTAAACTTGAGACAGTATATTTTTAGGTCCTCTTCTCACCATGCAGACTGGACGGTCAGAATGGAAGAGCTGTAGGGTAAGTGCACATTGCCTGCAATACTCATTAGAGCAGAACCAGAAGTTTTAATTTCTTCTTCCAGACATCCTGCAGAGTCCTGAACTTCTGTGCTACGACTTGAATTTTCTAGACGCCAAAGCAATTCACCTTTGCTAGTTCATCTGAACTGCTAACAGCATTAAAAAACAAAAAAATCCTTAAAATTATGACTATGCAAATTTATAGGTGGGGATGGGATGGATCGGTTTGTTTTTTGAAGTTTAAGACACACAAATTAACATACATAAAAGAAGGAAGGGTGTTTAGTAACTTCCTTTGACACCTCAAATTTTCCAGCCTAAAATGATTACATCTCTGTAACAGTAACTTCAAATATAGGCAAGTTCTCACTCGATACTGAGCTGCTGAGGGAACAGAAGTTGTTGACTGAATGCTATATAGCATTTTGTGCTCAGAAGCAGATCTGCATATAAAAATGGATATATTTTTAAAATAAGGAATCACACAGTATTTTGAACAGCAAGTATTCTAGCATCAGGTCAGTTTCCTTTTGTATTTTCTGACCCGTAAAGTTTTGACTTTACAATCACATAGTACAAACCTAAAAATCTGTACTCTACTTGTACTCTTTGATAACACAGTAACTATTTTAAAACTCTAGCTACGCATGAAGCATAATAAATCTGTGCTTAGGGCAGTTACCCCAATTCCATTACAATATCTGCAGTTTAACTATTCTAAACAAACTATCCAACACAATTATTTGGGAAAGGGTAATTTTATTTGTCCCATCATCATCATTAAACAGTCGTAAACTATATCATACAAAAATCTTAGTAAACATAATAAGCACTTAGGTTCTCCTCACATAATTTCACCAAAAAACATAGCCCAGAGTAAAGATGGAACAAATTTAATGTCCTCAGTTCATGTCATAGTCTTTACCTGTAATTTGAACCAAGCAGCCGATATGCATGGCTATTTGAAGGTGAATGTTCATTTACACAAGAAAGCAGGAGTGGGCTGTATTCTGGAAGTGGAGTGCACATAGTTTTAATGCTAAAACCTACGAACCATCCTGAAGCCTTGATGGGGCAAGGGTTGGGGTAGTCATCTTCATTTTTTCTCTGGAGGTTCATGTTTTACCCAATCCTCAAAGCCACCAGCATATTGCTGAACTCTGAAAATATGCAGAAGATACTATGTTAAGAAGGACTCTTGAAAAAGGTATCTAAGAGGGCATGGCAAAAAAAACCAAACCAAAAGAAAATCAGAGAAAAAAAGCATAACAGAAATTCTCTGCAATCAAATACACTTGTACCTAGCTTCAATGAGCCAGATTGATACTCCTTGTACACCAATACTGCCTGCTTCCATGCAGTGTGTTGTGCAACCCTTCCAAATGATACAATGCTGGAGGGCAAATACCAAGCAAGTAGTAGCAGCCGCACCAATGAAACAGTTTGCCGCTTCTTTTTTTAAAAAGAGAGAACAGACTTACTGTGGTGAGAGATTTATTATGTCTAATACTTCAGATGTCATCAAAGAAATGCAGCACACTGATCTTTTACTTCCTTGCAAACCTACATGCTCTGTAGATCTGACATAAGCCTTTACAAAGCTAAACTCTGGAAAACAAAAACCCACCATGCAAAACAATATTGACTCCTTCAATTAGGCAGCATGAAAAACAGGTAACGGAGGATATTTTGCACTTACTAAAACAATATATTTATAAAACAAGAACGTCGTTCCATCTTTTGACTAGAACTAGCAGGGATATTCCAGTTCATGAATTGCAGTTCCATGAAAACATGAGCAAACAACCAATTTTTTAAATCCTATCTGTAGTCTTCAAGCCAGCAAGGCACCTTCTGGCATGGGTATAACAATTCTGCCAACCAAACACTGCTTTTGCTTTCACTTATCAATCTCATTGTCCTTTTAGCTACTGCCTTCACTGCTTTACTCCTGGCAAACGATCCAATGCTTTACTGAAAGCGAAGGCCTACTTTGTCAACAGTGAACTGTACAGGTAGAACTGCAATTTAACAAAGGGCGTGGTTTCATACACTATTTAATCTAATTTAAGATTGTACTTCTACCAAAGTGAGCAGTTCTCCACCTTTCCAATCATCCTGTGGCTCAGGACTAGCGCTTATAAAGCTGTATAAGGAAGCAATGTCTTGGTGAGGGAGCCTTAAGAGGCAGAAGGATCCTTCAGTGGCAGCACGGTCTTGCAGCAGATTGCATCACCTGTGACACACGCACAGAGCTGCTGAGGGGTTGTTTCACAGGGCGATACACCTCACTTTTCTGGAGCACTCAAGGGTGTCTTTCAAGGTTCAGTGGAGACAAGAGGAGGTGTCTAACTCAAATACCAGTCATTTTGTTCATATTCCACATTTAAATTTTTACCCTTGCCCGCAAGAAGCTGAGTCAGAGTTCTGCTTCATGGGGGTAGGCCGCATTAATCCCATCGTTACGCACACAAGTCTTACCTGCTGAAACCCAAGGACATGGCAAAACTCAGTGCTTGTTTACTTCTTGTTCCTGCCAAACAAGAGAAAACCACAGGGTCCGACTTGGATGGCATCTTTTGATTGTACTGCTCCTTGAACTCCATTGGGTCCATTTGTAGAGCTTCCACTAATTCACCCACTAGGAAATACAGAAAAAAAAAGTCTCGTTTATTCTCCATCCAGACAGGCTTACACTGTCAGGCTTGTAATGCCTCTGGAGGAAAAGTTCAGCTCACAACATTCTAGCAGCTGTCTAGCACAGCCCCTCTTTGCTCAGTCACTGCCACTTGTCCACAGACTTGACCACCAAGCAAAGGGCAACACCCAACGTCCCCACATCGCGGTGTCAATAACTTACGCGGTATGTTGACGGACGCTGGGATTTTTCCGAATCTGTCGATCTCCCACCTCTCCCGCACGTCTATGTGGAGGATGTTGGTCTTCTTCAAGTCTTTGAGCTCTTGGTAGGAAAGGCTGGGCGTCCCGCCGGCGCAGAGCCTGCGGCTGGCGGCACCCGCCGGCCCGGGGCCTGAGGGAGAGGTGCCGCCCGTGAGCCCAGAGGAGACCCCGCTGCCCCGGCCTCCCGGGGAAGGCCATCGCCCCTAATAACG